TGGCTGAAACAAACGAAGCGACATTGTGCTACAGGTGTGAATGAAGGATCTGACGTTTGCCATTACGGAGACAAAACAATTTCAACGGAGAACCTGGCAGGGTCTGGTCTGCCGTCTTGGGCACAGTCGTGGTGGCTTGACAGGCGAGGGTGGCTAGACGCGTCTGGCGGCGAAAGTCTTTGCTTCTGTCACCCGGCGTGCTGCTTTGCACAGAGTAACAAACTCCTTTCCGCAGTTCTCAATCTTTGTCCAGTATCTTTTAGTGAACGCAGTATCGTGTTCAACTCCCCAAACTCCGAACAAACGCAAAAAGACGCAGGAAGAGAGGGTTGAAAGCGAAAGGTCTGACGAACACAGTGGTTTAAGTGTCAGCGATTCACCTCTCATACCCGATCATACATAAGATCGGATGGAAGAAATGTACAGTTTGAAAACGAGTTCGTGGCTCAATGGTTAAGGACATTGGACTTCTAGCTAACAGGTCGTGGAATCAAGCCCAAGGTGTTTCACACCTCGGGGTTGGGTATGGCTGGCTGACGACGGCTAATAAGCCAGAAATGGCCATTCCAGTCTCCCTGGTCTGTGTCGGCAATGCTATTCTGCTTGTATTTCGCGCTCATATGCAGCAGTTAGCGCGGTTCGAGATAGAGCCCCAAGGCACAACGCAACGAGTGAATTCCGTAGCGCGATCGGTGGGCGCCTGGGATTTGTGTCAGGCTTGTCGTTTCAAAGCGAAGTTAAGATACGGTAAATAGAACTTGGACATCTGCACCCAGTCGTCAATTTTAAACTAGGTGATCTGCGTTCTGTGAGAGAGAGACGGGACGTGTCTGATTGCCCATATCTAAAGAGTATTACGGCCACCACCAAGTAAACCGGAAAAAAGGTCCCAAACGCAGGGGAAAAATTAGTCAGTACAGTTCTGCACTCGTTGATGGTTACGACCCGAATTAAGAGTGTATGGTCAGCGTCGTCCATTTTAAGTAACAGGAATTCCCCAGAGGTCTGACCGTTCAGTTATGATTGAATATGGAGCTGAAGACCCCTAACCAGACCCGTGTTTAGGCTGTAACCGAGGCGATTGTCAGGGGGCTAAGAATGACAGTAAAAATTGATCGACTGGTAAGTATTCCCTACACCCCCATACCTTACATTGGCTGCGAAACAGTGGCATAACAACGAAAATTAGTCACACAGAGGAAGGGTATACTTGGATTCCACCCTTGTACCTCTACGTATAGGTGTGCGCGCAGTAGCCGCTCCTCTCAGAACCATTCAAGCCGCAAAATAGGGGAGCAGCGAAGCGACTGTAACCTGTCGTGGGGAGACGACTGATCTTCGCCATCGTACCCACGCTCGCAAGTGAGACAGACAGACCTCAGTAAAGCGCTCCGCCGCGTGCCATGAGTGAAGGCTGACAGGTCAGGCAGGCAACAAACAGGCGCACGTAGATAGGGGGTCGATATGTGGTCGGCCAGGGCGCAAGAAAATAGCATCGCTCAAAAGGTGATGGTAAGGCAGACAGCAAGCAGTAAAATACTTGCCTCTAAAGATCAGAGAGCGCTATTAAAGCAGTTCTTGAAACTTCGATAACACCGAGTTTCGAGGTTATTTACGTACGGTGCAAAACGGGAATTGGAAAAAGGTTTTTACCACAAAGTGACGTGCCTGCCACTCTAGACCGATTAATAAAATGGAGTGGGAAAGTCATGGAAGTGAAGATGGCCCAAAATTGGTGACCCGCAAAACACGACTGGCCAAAAAACTGCCAGCATCTGAGAGAAAGTACGCGAACGTAGGAAAGCATAGGCTTTCACTGAAAGTAAGGTCCTCCTCCCGCTAAGGCATGGATAAACCTCCTCCCGGGCATAAAAGGCAGGCTATTACTATATCACAAGCCTGGGCAAATCAATACTGGCGGTGCTTTGTCTTAATCCCTTTTGACGGCCACTTCGGAAGACAGTATATCCTAAGGCAATATTTCATATTAACCCAACTGTGAAAAAGTCGGCGCCTCGGTGGGATTCGAACCCACGCAGTAAGGGGAAGACTTTAGTACCGCCAACGCTCTAACCACATGAGCTACGAGGCCCCGCCGGACGACGCGAGTTTAATCACATTTGGGTCAAGTTACCCGCCCAACCTACTGCAACGTCTGGAATCCACCAAATCTGATAAAGTAAGTTGACTGCCCAGACAGGATTTCTTAAGTAATTCACCTAGACTCCACCAAATGACAACCAGGCTTATGTAATTCATAGATGTTTTGGCGTCGTCCGGCAGGGCCTCGTAGCTCAAGTGGTTAGAGCATTGGCTGTACTAAAGCCTTCCTCTTACTGCGTGGGTTCGAATCCCACCGAGGAGCCGAGTTTTCCACAGTTGGGTCAATATGAATTATCGAAAATCTGCCAAAACATCTATGAACTAAGGCAATATCACTAGTTTTATCGATCCAAGAAACGGCTTTAGCTAGGCAGTGACGATGGCTAAAAGGGCGGTTCCGGTCAGCTAAATAGATGGGTGTCTAAGAGAGGACGAAAATAGCAGGCTGACAAGAGATGCAATAGCACAGAAGGAGGAAATTATACAGCGTGAGTGACGATTGCGTACTTCAACCGCGATGAATAAAAGAATTAGTGGTGTCTGTTAGCTGGTTAGATTTGAGTAATCACACTGCGTAGGGTATGCTTTCTTCTAACCTCCCGGGGTGGAGGGGCGCTGTTAACAGTGCTTTCCTGATGACAGCCCATAAAATATGCTGGCCATGTTTGCCAATCGGGGAGGCATGACGTATGGTAAGTGACGTATCTCTAAAACGTTAACTGGAATTCTGGAAGGTGAGCCCCGCTAAAAGGAATGACTTCAGTCGGGTTGTAAAACTGCTTATTGTGCAGCATAATTGGCCAGGACGCCGACTTTCGAATGCGCATAGGCGAAGGTATGGTTTATGGCCGGGGTTACTTACTCCGGTGAGCAATTGCGCTAAATGAAAATAACCGGCGATATTTATTTGTACATGCCAGAGAAAGGAATAAAATGGCCCCGTTGTGGCTGTTGCGTGACGGTAGCGAAGATGCTTTAAGATAGTCATCGGAGTAAAAATACGACTATGCAATATCTTTTTGGCGATGCCTGAAGTAGGGTATTAAATGCACGTACTATAGGCATTAAATGGAAGTAGCGTCCCCTTTTTATTGGTGACTGTATGGAGGAGCAAAACGTGAGATACCTCAGATTTCCTAGCTGTTCAGCTCTTTTGCCGAACACAAACGTTCCCCGGAGTAAGTAAAATCCGGCCATAAACCATAGCCCGTATTTTGGCCGCCTGCGAAAATTACTCCGTATAAAAAATGACAACTTATGTAGTACAGATATTCTCTGTTGATATCCGATGACCTAGTGAATTAAAACTTATATAAAACACGAGCATGTATCAAATTTCGTCTTCGAGGATAATTCCCAGTTCTCAAAGGGCTGTGTAGTTCTCGAATAATCATGAGTCCAACTTGTCTTGGCACGTGCGTTTAAGATTTCCAAACTACAAGCTGCGCACGTTCCATTTAAGGAAATATATACATTCCTCTGTGCTATTAAGGTCATTTCATATAGGGTTCACGGAATTTCTCAGTGGATATGGACGACGGCGCATACGTAAGGGGATCTTTATTGAATGCCTCACTTAATCAGGAATATGGATTTCTGAAGTCTGGTTCACGTGTGCACAGCGATCAACGGGCGGGTGGTACACGTCGACGCATGCCCGACTGCACCCAACCCCTGTTCCACTTGACTTGACTCTGACCTGCAAATCAAATGGGGTGAAAGCAATAAAGATGTCGCGTGAGTCCTTCCAATCATACATCCAATCCACTACCAATGCACCACTGCGCCCTCGAGGCAGTGATAAGTCTCGTCGCTTTAGACGGAGCCCCATCAGTTCTGCCTCACTCTAGTGGGCATGCCGAAGTAATTCAGGGAGCCGCGGTAGACTGCTGATGAAGTGTTGGGGTTGGCGCGCCTTTAGACAGTCGATGTTACTGAGGCCCACTGTTGTCGGATTCCAGGGGGTCAGCAGGCAATTTCCCGATACTCCTCCAGCAGATGTAGGACCCCGAACATTGCACCAGTTGTTTCGTGCTCGTTGTAAACCACGCATGGCCTTTCTGGCAGGAGCCACAAGATAATCCTGTGATTACTCCTTGCGTTTACATCTCGGCGGACGTCTGAGGCATTTTTATTCCCAGCCTACAGGGTTGCTGCTACCACCCTCCGAAATGGCAACAAATGGCAGGTGAAATGCTCAAAAATTGGAGTCGGAAAGCGGAATGTCCGCTACGAGTAATCACTCAGGTGAAGTCAGCGCAACAGCGAGGGCAGGGATTGAAGAAAGTGCCGGCTCTGATCAGGAATAAATTTGAAAAACTCACGTAGGAGATGCCGACTCGAACCTCCCTGCTGATGGCGTTTGTAACTTTCAGCCTCCCGGGTGCACTCGTTCCTTTGTGAAAGCGGCCTAGTCCACGGATGAATCCCGAATGCAGTATATGCAATGCATCCTCGAGTGATATCAGTTTCTGACAACTGCCGCTGCCTAGAATTTGGATAAGAGGAGGATGTAAAATAGGCCCACAGGATTACAAATATTGAAAGACAGGGGAAGACTATACGCCGCGCAGGGTAGATTTTCCCTCATAATTCTTAAGTTTGTCGCTCGAAAATGTAGTATGGGTTTCGCCTAACAGTCGGCCAATCGACAATGTTTCCCCAAGTAGTTCATTCGTGGCTTCAAATGTGGGCATTAAATGAATCTCGTAAGGATTTTTAACAGATCGAGTTGTTCACGAATTCACAAAAACGAAGGCAAGTAAAATCGGCCTCATTTTGATCTATGACTTTGATGATCGCCTTATTTTCATGCATTAGGCGCCTGAACATCTGAATCAATGATCTCCACCTAACTCACCAGCAGGAGAAGGGGGAGAAAAAGGAAGAAAAGGAAGATGACAAGTGGAGGGAGGACAAGAAGAGGCAACACGAAGCATGAAAACGAGGAAAATGGGCAAATGGCAGGTGATGATGATGATGATGATGATGATGATGATGATGATGATGATGATGATGATGATGATGATGATGATGATGATGATGACAGTGGTGGTGGTGGTGGTGGTGGTGGTGGTGGTGGTGGTGATAAAAAGGATTAAGGAGGAAGAGAGAGAGAAGTAATGAAGAGAATGAACTAACAAAAAGTCTGAAAGAAGGGGAGAAGCCTTAGAAAGATTGAGAAACGGAACAAGGATGGAATAAAACCGTATGGCCAAAAAATAATTATGAAAAGGTCGGCAAGAAAGAGGGAAACGACAAATAAAAAGAAAGACAAAATACAAAAGAGAATGGGAAGCAGGAGTACTAGCACAGGGTAAAAAATCAAGGACGAAGGTGTGGAGAAGAAGCAACAGATGCAATAACGGTCGGAATAAAAAGTACAGGAAGGGAAAAGGACATAAGAACAAGAGCGAGAGGATAAGAAGGAAGCAAGGAAGGAAAGAGAAGTGAATAAGAGATTAAGTAAAATAAATGGTTCGAGCTCAAATGGTGCAGTAGAATGCATTTCCTAACGTAGCGAACCAAGTTTGGTAAGATTGGAAGACTGGATTAAACAGAACACAGCTTGAAGAGATTGACACAATCATCGGGTGGCCAGCAGAGACACGGGAAACGGTGTCAGAAGGCTTTAGTAATGTCATAAGTAGCCATAAGGAGTCTACCATGCCGACCGAGGATTTCGGTCATTGTGGAAGGTTCGTCAAAGGTTGGGTGATCCATGATAATGTCTCTCCTTAGCCATAATTAGAAACAGTGACTTTGCTGTCTATACACTTCCGTTTGCGTGTGATCGTAAGTGTTAGTCAAGCGTACGACTGGTTGAATAAAGCGTGAATAGCCTGACTTAGTTGCTCTCACAACCTTCCTGTCATTGTCAGTCTACCTTTGAGAAAGAATTAACACAGGGCAACAACATGGTTTTTATTACCTGATGACGCGTACTGACTAGATACCGAAGGAGCACTACCAGCGCCAACACCCCCACCAGCAGGCGCCGTAGCGGAGGCGGTCCCGTTCAGACCCGCGGGCTCTGTGGCCACGCTTGAGGCCAATACATGACCCAGGAGTTTGGCTATTTCTAGTCGGATAGGATAGGTGGAGCCGTCCAGTCCCCGGAGACACATGCTGACAGTGGCGTCCAAATCGGCCGAGTAGAGGTTGTTGTGGTAAACGGCCAGGCTGTAATGACACTAAGAAAAAAAAACGAAAACATCAAACACGGAGCGGACTAGTTACCGACAACAGTCGGAAATAGTGAGACATAGGTTGTGGGAGTTACATCAGTACCGTTGAGATTTCGATCCATTCTTCTTCAGACCAACTAGTAACAGTCTTCAGACTCTCCAAGAGGGAATGATATCGCGCCTTAAAAACGGTTGTGCCTCATTTTATGGCCATAAATCTGGCACATAATCTTGAATGTTGTCCACAGAGGATAAAGGCAGTAAAGTTAGACAGTCATAATCTTCCATTATAATTCTTACCTGTCTAGATTGGAAGCTCGAAATCAGTGGATCTAGGAAAGTGAAGTAGTTCTAAGCTTTATTATCCTCAGCAGAGCAGATTTGTTCTCGTATTTCAAAAAAATGGTCATGGCTTTTGATACTTTAGCTACAACTGGTTGTTACAATATGTTGTCAACCCGAAAAATGAAACAATCTGTAGGTAAAATTGTCCTGCTATCTGACTTAGGGTACAAGGTAGCAAAGTATTCCCCAGTGACGTGGTCTGTTTATACTGCACCACAGCGCTTCTTGTATGGGCGTACGAGTAATAAAGGGTTTCGAACTCGAAGTGTACAACTTCGCATGTCATTAGGGTGACATAATTCACTGGTCCAGGCCATCTACCTCAGAGTTCACCAGGAAACTGTCCTTTCTCAAGAGCACATTACTGTTGACTGAACGCCAACAGTCACTGCGATTTCACGATGAGCAGTGCAACACTCCCGCCCTCCTAGAGCTCGATAGAAGTTTTGTTTTGTCCATTATTGCCGTTTCCATTTTAGGTTTGACACATAAAGATCGCTGTCTTGATCGATGAAGCAGTATGCCTTCCACCCGAAAAATGTCGAATAATGGTACGAGCTGTTCGGAGTTCTGCGAAGAATTCGGACACCCTCCCTGTCAAGAACCGGCCTTCAAAGTAGGAAAAATCACTGTGTCGTCTATGGATCGCCACAGAGCGCTCCGAAGTTATTTCACACCAGTCAGATAGCTTTCCGTAGCAGATGGCATAAATCAGCTCTAGGGTTTTTTTTACGGACTGGCACTGTTCCCGTATCCTATCTAACACTGGCCTTTGGACTTGACTGTAGAACGTCCAGGGACCATTCCTAAAAAACTGAGATTGGTGTAATTCAGGAAGAGACAATGGCACTGATTACAGTTCACGAAGACCACTGAGGCATAAATTCACCGCCACTGGAAGGCCACTAAGCTTATAAACGACCAGTTAGCGCGAAGAGCCCCAACAAGGGGCGCTGACCCCCCTAAAACAGACCACGCGATGGATGCTGCGAACCGACAGAGCGGCCGCATTAAGGCATGGCGCGCGCTATTCGGATTGACCATTCATAAAGAATGTCATACATGGAAGGGTGTGACGACGTGCCACCGTACTGATTTGGATAATTCTTTGCTGAAGCTGGCCGGTTGGTATGCGGGATCTGCAGAGTTAATTTATAACTGGGTACATGTACTCGAACGGTATAGCGAGCACCGCAATGAAAATTTCAGCTGGTTCTCAAAGACCGTCGAGCTCGCCTGATACTGAGGACGTTCAAAGGGCACTTGAAGGGTCCAACGGTCCTCCTAGTCCGAATACAATGCTCGGAACTAAGGCTTCTTACGAAGCGCAAACCTCCAAGATGTACTTCCGCTATCTGTATATATAGACGGGGTTGGCGTTCTGGCAAGTTAACTTAGACTTCCAACTGATAACTAATTTTCCGGTATTTGTCTAGCCACCCTGCCAATCCTTGTGTGGATTACCATCGTCTCCTCTAAAACAAACGAGTGGTTGTTCTGGAAGTGATTAAACACCACGCAGGAGATTGAGAGTCAGTTAACAGAAACCTCGTGTTTACTACGAATTATATAGAGGCGTTTGGTAGTGGGGCTAGTGTTGGACGATGTTTTAATGGGATTTCAAATTTGTTTTGAATTAAGTGTTTTAGATAAAACCGTGTGGAATACATTATGCTACTCCCGGATACGAGAGTATAGTTGGCTTCTCGGTGCAAGTTTGACGACTTAGCACTGTAGGGTGAAGTTGCTCTTTTGTATAGCGGAATGAAAAGCCGCAAAGGTGCCCAGTAACTGCAGCCCGCCCCCGTGAACAAAGGTGTTTAGCGCCATAGGGCCAGCCCGTCGCCGCGTCCAGCAGAATTTTCTAATTGATCGGCCATTTCCCCCCAAACACTCGTCCATGGGCACTTCTATTTTAATGCCAGAGCCTGACTATTTCCCTTTCATGTAAAGAAATGGATTCGTTTTTTATTAATGCTAACTGATGGCACCCTCAAAGTAACAATAGTCTGCCCTTTTGCGAAGTAAAAAAATTGTGTACATAACTCAATTAAACAGCAAAAATGAGATGCATCTTTGGTGGACTTTAGAACAAAGAAGTTGAGAGATTTTCTAGAGAAATTTTGTTAGCTAAAAATAAAGACCATGACCCTGCAGGGCTGAACGAAATACCCTTTGCAATATGAAGACCACCATCTAACTAACATCAACGGTAGTCGACAAAGAAGGGACTAAGATAAGGACAGCCCTTACCCCTCATGCCAAACGGTCACTTTCGGCGTAAACTTTTTCATGTGATGTAAAGGGACACAATTTGTGACGCAAACTTGCTATCAATGCTGGTTCGTGATTTACAGCCTTTACCTGTATAGGAATGAATTCAGGCAACTGCACTGCCCAATACGCACTGAACGGCTATAGTGGCTATCGCGAGTCACAAAACCGAGGCGCTTTGGCATGCTAACAACAACAACAACAGTAGGTTGTCGTCGCTCTCCATGACCCAAAGCACATTTTGAACACGACGCACGATCGTGTACTACGGCGAGTCTTGGTTAAGAAGACAGACTACTACCGAGTGACGTATGGGACTACGTTGAGTTATTGACAATGACCCATTAGAAACCGAGTGGCAGGTGTTGGTCAATTAAAGCGACTAAAGCAGTGACCTCAGGTTTTGCTAATGTGAGAAGCACGGTGGCATATGCACGTTTAAAGATGCCAGAAGAAAAGCGAACTGACTTCGCTGTCAGATAACAAAAACATTAACAACATGACAGCAAAAGGCAAGAAAAACCGGTCGATATACCTATTTATTAAAATGGAAGTGTATGTTTGTTTCAACAACAGAAGTTTGAAGTTCCCTCGATCACCACAGTCACTAAGCATACGCACTGGCAAAATCCGTATATCGGCAGTGGGGACAAAACATTTTCTATCAGGAGCATCAATAACTTTCAGTGGACAAAGGCGGGATCACAGCCAACACCGAATGGAACTGAAACATATGCATGGGTCCTAAGCCCTCGCCAGCCTATTTGCCTATTGCAAAATATGCACATGAAGGCCGGTCTACCTGTTAGACGAGCTGTCGGCAACCCATTGGATCAAAGAATGGCAGATCACGGAACCACATTCAGAAATGGTTACCTGTGATATAAGTAGGCTCTCCGATATGACAAATAAGGAGTCACGGAACAGCTGCAACAATGATACCGGAGCTAAACGAGACGATACGCCGACTGTCTTATAAAAAATGTCGAGGTTGTATGACGGTACTGCGACATGGCTATCAAGAACAGCCAGTTGTTTAGGTCAAAGCGGTAGATGGCTTTGAAAAAATTTGGGGGCAGCTGTTTAAGGGCCCTCGTGTACTCAAAATTCCCAAAAGGCTCAAGATAACTGTCTGAACATACTTTGACGAGCACAGCTACGGCGTCCGCGGGAACCAACGCGTCCGGCAACCATGGTCCGGTGACGCGAGTAAATGGTAAACAAGCTGGACTACTCAGTTGACAACAGACCACTGGTATTAAATGTTGGAATGTACGAACGTTCCTCAAGCCTCA